GGGCCCCTCTGAGGGGACCGCGCCGCAGCAACAGCCCGCCCGCGCTTCCGCCCGCGGGCGGCGTGCGACGTCAGTGCGCATGACGGGCAGGAGGGCGGGGCGCGGCACCGCTCGGCGTGGGCGGGGCCTACGTGCAATGCCGTCGCGAGGGGTGGGCGGGGCACCACCTGAAGCAGGAGCGGGCGGAGCCTTGACGTCACCGCGAGGGGGCAGGGCGGGCACCACCGTAGCGGCCGGGCGTGGCCCTCGGCGCGCAGCACGTACTCACGCCCGGCAGGCGGGGCTGGCCTGCTGCTGTCACCGCGAGTCAACGCGACAGCCCCTGAGGAGGGAGTGGGCGGGGACCCCGCGTGGCTCGGTTTCCGGCCGCGGATCGGCGGGACTTGAGTCTGGGAAGGGCCGGGGGCGGACGACCCTGTCGGTCCTGGCTGCAGAGCGCCGCCGGGCGTCGGCGCGCGGCTCCGTCACAAGCCTGTGGGCCTCGGGGCTACGGGTGGATCCGGCCGCGAGCGTTAGGATGGGGCGGGCTCCGCTGGTTCCACCCTATGGGGCGCGGTTCCTGGAGGGCTCGTGAGGAACGAATTCACGCTCCTGCGTGTTAGACTTGCCGAATCTGTCAAATGACTTCCTAAACAGGAAGGTACTGTTTAATAAACTTTTAAGATGTTAAACACACGCTCCTGAGTGGTTCTGATAGTGCAGCGCCACAAAGCAAAGAAGTCACCGTTCTAGTCTTGTGGCATAAAGATGGTTTCTGTCTTGGAAATCTCAGCTACCTCAGAGATGAGAGAAAAAACAGGATAGGTCTCCTTTACGTGTATATAAAATGAAGGAATTTCATGCTGGAGGTGACACAGGAAAAGTGAGAATCTTAACATCCTGGCCTACTCAGTATTGAAAATACTTGATTAGACCTTGCTTGTGATTTCTGAGTAGCACAACTTTTGATCATTTTATCTTCCAGTAAACTCGGCAATTCCTAGTTGTGTTTATGAACATGTTCAGTGAGTTCCAAGGAAATTTTAATTACATGTTTAATAGAGCTGGTTTTTTCCCCTCTCTTACTCTTCAAATCTTGTTACTGGCAGCCTTGACTTACTAGCTTTAGGAAGGGCAGGGGCTGTCGGAGAGAAATATAGCACACTTACATGTTTTTAAGTTCTTGAGTGATATGTGTTCATGTCACACGGGTTCTTCTCTGCTATACTGCAGGGATTCTGGAATAACAACTTGATAACTACGCAGTAGCTTCAGGAACAAACCCTGGCATCTTCAGGACAAAACAGTGATAATCCCACAGACCACTCTGCTGTGCAGGTAGGAGAGCAAAAGCCTGTAAGATGAAGAGGACTGCCAACTAAAAGCTAAACCAATCAGCCCTGTTAGATGTGAGGAACCAGACTTGCTAACATGGACTTTGGGGTGGGAAAAGCATTTGCATGCTCTGGTAACCTTTCTAAGTCTCATTAGTAATTACACTCAGCTTTAAGAACCCTATCTATTATGTTTATCAGCATACCCTCGGGCTAGCACAAAGCCTGGCACAGCAGGCACTAAAAGAATGAATATACCTCTGTCCTTCCCTCATCTGTGAACCTATATAATTATGTATGCATATATGTGTGTGTTGCTATGGAGACATAAATACATATATAAAAATCTTGCTCTAGGGTCTAGAACAGTCAACTTCAGTCAAGGTTCACTAAGCCTCAAACAAAGGAAGTGGCTTTCCCCTTCTCACTGTTCACCAAAATTGGTAAGTTGTAAATATGTAAAAAGGTGAGTCTCAAACCTCTTCCTGTCAACAGCTTAAAGCTCTAATGCCACCCTTCACTCATGACAGTTAAAATCTCACAAGTAATTGCCTTAACACAGGAAGGAGCATGATCCTTCCTGTTTTGCAGCCTTTCCAATAAAGACTTGTAGGATCACATCCTATAAAGACTTTTGTGAACACAAGCCACATAAGAAACCCTGCACGGCTGTGGTAAAGCATTTGACCCTGAAGAGAAGAGTTATGCTGTACACTGACCAGCCTCCTGGCCTCAGCTGCCAGTGTGACCCCACTGAACTTCCATCGCTTCCCTATACTGGACCATAGCAGCAAGGCAGAACATGTCTCCTGCACTGAGTCTAATAACAGGCCCCGCTCCATTCTTAGGTTTCGCTAGTACTCTACTCTTTATATCTCTCAGTCTCCTATGACCCCTTCATGTTACCTCTTTCCTTACTTTCTGTGAAGACAGCTCTTAAATGAAAAGCTCGGCTCTCTCAGAGGAAAGATGAGCACCACTGTGAGTGTCCTATTACAAAACTGTGAAAGTTCAGCCTCTGCTCTCATCCTTTCCAGTTCCAGAGAAACGCGCTGCCTTCGGTGTAAGTTCAACCCTTTCTGCTTCGTTTTAGATCCCCTCCTGCCTAGGTCTGGGCCTTGTCAGCTACTCCATCTACCTCTTCTGCATCTCCCTGTCTTGGTTCCTTCCCTAACAACTCTACATGGGCTTCACTGTAGAAGGCACAGCCACTCTGCCTCTCATTCACATTACTGAATAGTTGTTTGCCTATTTCTTCTTCTTCAGTTAAGAGCTACTAGAGGTCCAGACTGTATTACTTAGTTTTTTGTTTTTTTTGTCTCTAGTACTCTATTAAATGAACTTAGTGAGTCAGCTATTGAATACAGATAATGGAATATTACAAGATAAAAGGTAATTGACAAATGAGTTTGTTAGAAAATAATTGTTTTAAGAAGTCTGAGAAATTGCTTTAGCTTCCTCTATAGCCATTTATTCAGCAAATACGGTGGGGATCGCGAGAAAGAATAGCATTTGCAAAGCCCGTGTATATGGTGCCTTTGGGGAACTCTAAGTCATTCTGTTTGGTGATGAAAGAGTGCAATTGGGTGAGAGCTGAGGTGGAAACAAGCAGGGAGTGACATGAGATTCATGTGTTAGATAACTGGCTGCACTAGTGGATGAACTGGTAGGGGCTGCAATGGAAAAAAATATAATCGAGACATAATTATTTTGATAGGAGTTTGTGACTGCACTCAGAAGGTGAGGGAGAAGGATTTAAGGGCCATGCCCAGATCATTCATGGAGTGTATATGTGGATGACTTTGTCTAATATGATAGCTGGTGATGCTTTCCTTACATTCAACAAAGAGTCTGAAGGTTTTCTAGTATCAGCTGTTTTCTCAGTTGACAGAATGACACAGTGGTTAAGAGAATGGACTTGGCATCAGATCATTCACCAGCCTAGCTGTATGAACTTAAGCAAGTGAATTAACCATTCTGGCCTTCAGTTTCCTCATCTGAAAAACAGTAACAGCTTATCTCCTGTGGGATGCTATGAGAATTAAATGAATTACCAAATGGAATTTTAATTTGGTGCCTCATATAGAGCACTCTCTAAACATATCATCGCTATAATGAAATCGCCTTTCCTACTTTCCTTTTCTTTATATTCTCCCTAAGAGCTGATGAGAGGAAATGGAAAAGATAGGAGTGATATATTGAAAACCACAGTGTAATTAAATATAAAAGGCTTACCAGGTCTGTTAATGACTTCTATAAGCAAAGTAGATGGATCCATAAAACTATAAACTGGTTCATAATAGTAGGTGACTCAAGAATACAATGTCTGTGAAATAAATTTTCTATCTACAGAAAAATCATGATCTCAAAAACAGACTGTCAGTAATATGCTTACTGATGCATTGTTCAACACTTGATTTAAGCGTTTATTCTTTTTGTCTGAAAACATTATGTAATCTTTTCTAAGTAACATTTGCATACTAAACAAATGCAGAAGTCATTGGAAACAACTAAATGTTAAATACGACACGCCTCGCTGGAACAGGACCTGCACCACCCCAGGCCTGCATGTTTAAGATTAGCTTTTATTGTAAGCTTCCAGTAAGTAATTCTGATAAAACACACCTGACATGCAGAATATTTGTCTTAATGATTCAGCCCTCATTACTTATGTTGTATACAAACAGTCATCCTTTTAGCAACTACCTTTTCAAATACTTTATGATTCCTACCATTCTTACAGGGTGTGTTTTATCAAACGACAGCATTCTGGAAAATAATCTGTAAAGTGCAAAACCTAATACAGATAAAAAGCTCTTTTCATTACCGACGGATATTTGCGGCGTCTGACGCTGTTTCAGGGCTTGAACATAGCTTTTCCACGAACTTGGTCGAGGGGCTCCGACGGTCCAGGTGGCACGAGGCTAAGTGGATCCGAATAAGCAGCAGCTGACGCGGCAGCGGTGTCTTAATTTCCTCCGGCCCTGCCTGCCCCACGGTCAGGGAAGCGCAGCTTCGTTCCTGCACCGAAGGCTGCGCGGCCGGGCGGGGACATCCCAGCCTCTCCCAGCTTCCTTCCACACCCTCTCCCTTTAGGCCCAGAGGAAATCCCAGGCCAGCGGCTGTCGGCTCTCCGCTGCTCACGCCTGCTGGTTGCTAGAAGTCAGGGACGCGTTGGCGTGCTAGGGGGCGACTACCCGGCTTTGCCGGGCCAGCGATCGCTCGGCCCTCCCATGGTCGTGCCTGCTGGTTGCTAGGACTCGCGGTCGCGCAAGCGCTCTTAGGAAGGCCGCCGAGCTTGCCGGACCAGCTGTCGCTCGGCTCTATGCGGCTTGCGCCAGCCGGTGGCTAGGAGTCACGAACACGGAGGCGCGCTGGGGACGCCCGCGGGGCATTCCGAGTCGGCGATGGCCCGCGGTCGCTTTGCCCTCCGCTGCTCGCGCCTGCCCGTTGCTAGGAGTCTGGGATGAGTTGGAGTGCTAGGTAGGGGGCGCCTACCTTGCCGGACCAGCGATCTCTCGGCCCTCCGCTGATCGCGCCTACAGGTTGCTAGGAGCCCCGGACGCGTAGGCGCGCTGGGGTTGGCCGCGGAGCGTGTCGGACAAGCGATCGCTCAGTCCCCGGCTACTCGCGCCTGCGGGTTGCTAGGAGTCCCGGACGCGTGGGCGCGCTGGGGTTGGCCGCGGGTTGTGCCGAGCCTGCGGTCGCTCGGTTCCCGGCTGCTCTCGCCTCCTGGTTGCTAGGAATCGGCGTCGCTTGCCCGGCGGAGGGTACCTTTCTGTGGACGGTGACTTTCCGGGGTCGTACCGAGGGCTCATTGCGCAGCGCGGCCTCCCGGGCCTGCGAGCGGCGATGGAGCCCGGGAAGGTGAGTGCACACGGGCTGCACGTCGTTCTGGGCGCGGGGCGGGTTTATGGAACTTGGTTAACGGGTCCGGTCGCCGAGCGGTCCTGGCCCCGAGCCTGACTCCCGATCTGCGAGGCGCCGAGGTCAGAGGTCGGAGCTCGAGGCGTCCCGTTACCGCGGAACGCTGAGCCTCGGGGGTCTGGGACGGGCAGGGATCCGTGTGTGTGTGTGTGTGTGGTTTAAAAGCCCATGGAAGAATTTACACGCCTCTTTCTGTCCTCTGCTTATCTTTTAAGGCTACCAACTTCCTGAGCTCTGTCATCTATACCATTCCCTAACCTTTTCATAAGTTATTGTGTAACTTAAGTTTTCTGTCATTTGTTGACAGATTGATTTTTAAAATTGAAAACCAATAATCACAGTAACATCATTATATGAGCAGTTATGCACTGCAGAACTAAGCAATGTGATTGGACCAATGTCTGTTATGGGTCTTTTTTCAGTCTTTTTTTTTTTTTTTTTTTGACATTTGATCATCCCTTTCAAAGTGGAAACTTAAGTCTACCTTCACTTCTAGGACATTCTTCTATTATTTCTATATTTCCTCCTTTCTATTTTCTCTTATCCTTTTGGAATTCTTGTTTTCTTTTTTAAAAATATATTCTGGGAGATTTCTCCAGCTTTATCATTAGCTTCATCTACTTAAATATTTTACTTTGTTAATTTTAATTTAAAGTTAAGAATTTTTGTTCTATTGCTCCTATTTGTAGCATATGTTTTAATTTGTGCTTATAATGTTCTAAAAATCTTTTGAGGATATAATTTATGTCCTTTTTTTTTTTTTTTTTTTTTTTTTACAAAAAAAAGTTTTTTTTCTTTTTTTTTTTTTTTACAAAATAAAGATTTTATTGGCTCATTTTCTTTTAGGGTCATTTTCTCTATATGTTCATCTTGATTCTTTTCTTTCTTATACTGGTTTTTCTCAAATGCCCAATTGACCTTTCATATTTATCAATGAAGCACCGGGTTCATTAAAGTAAGTGTTTTCAGTAGCAAGGGACTGGGCACTTTAAGGCCTCAGGGTGACACAGGGAAGGTAGGGAGTGTGTATTACCTATGCTTAGCCAGAACCTTGAAGTAACATGGACATTTACATTATTAAGTAGCCAAAGGAACACATTCTGTAATCATTTATAGGTAATTCTAGACTAGTGAATAATTTCGTTTTTAATTTGTATTTTTATTACCTTTAATTCTGGTAGACAGTAATTTGTTGCACATTAAGTACTAAGTGCCATTGATTAAAATGGCCTAATTAAATTAGAGCTTACAAAATTGGTTATTTTAAATTTTGAAAATTCTAACTTTATACTTTTGTTTTTAGAGAAGAACCAAAGATGATACTTGGAAAACCGATGACCTCAGAAAACACCTTTGGGTAATGTATTTTAAAGATTTAAGCAGAGTTCTGAATGGACCCTGTATGGTTTTTTTGGACAGTTTTACCTGGTGCTCAGCACTATACAACTTTGCTTCCATGGGGCCCATTTCAGAGGAGTTTTTGGCTCAGAAGTAAAGCCGTGAGGTTAGTAGCTCTGGAAGTGCTTGGGGACAGGGTTTCTTGGCCCAGCCTGCACCTTCGCAGCCCAATTGGGTTTTTGCCATGGTTCAAAGCTTGGGTTGTGTGTACATGTGTATGTAAGAGAGAGAACATGTGTCTGTGAATCTGCAGGTATGAGTAAGTGTGTGTTTGTATGTGTCTGCATGTATGTGTCCGTATGTGTACGTGTGGTCTGTGTGCGCATGTGTGGGAGGAAGCCTGGGGGTTGAGGTGGAGACTTCCTGAGAGTTTTATATAGGGATCCTTGTTCTTGGAGTGGGACCCGGGTGGTTAGTGTCTCAGAGACTTTAGGGCACAGCCTCATACCCCTTTCTTTTGCTTTCTAATCCGCGATGTGTTTTAGATTTCATTTGATAACATCTGTGAACACGTTATAAACGGGTACCTATTGCCAGTCACAGAAATGCTAAGTGTGACTCCACCTGCTGTGGATTTGGAGACTTGGTCCAGGCCCTTCTTGCAGTGGATCCATTAGCGAGTGTGACTGCCTCATCCAGAAACTGTTTCTTTCCCTTGCTGTAGGCTGCACAGTCAGGAAGTCCCAAAGAAAACAAGAAGCACAGAGGAAAGAAGCCGCATAAGGGGTCGGAAATGGGCCTCCCAGAGCCCATGGAGCCAAAGCACAGGGACCTGGACCCAGACACCAAGTGCAGAGAGACGGCAGCTGAGAGGGACAGTTACAGCTGCAGGGAAGGTCCTCATGGAGAGAGAGACAGAGAGAAGCCACGGGAGAGGAGGAGGGACCGGGACGGAGAGAAGCTTCATGACAGGTTCAGAGAACAGGATGTGGACAAGTCTCAGAGTCGAGGGAAAGACAGGAACAAGGACCGAGAGCACCGGGCTCGCAGGGAGCAGCCCCGGCAGGCGACCGCACACCACAACCTGCTGGGCCCGGACGCACGCCAGCCAGTGGCTGACAGGTTGGAACACAGCATGCGGACAGGTGTGTGTCCTCGCCAGGCTGTCCACCTGGCCGCCTCTCCCAGTTGCTCAGCGTTGAAGGGCACTCACCTCAGAAGTGCTGCTCCCCACTTGAACTCTTTCGTGGTTTTCATAACCATGCTGGCTTTGCACTTGATTAGATGCCCCGTTGGACGTGCATGTGCTTTTCACAGTTGGTTCCGTTTTGATATTTAGAAACTCGTCTCAGTGAATGAAAAAGGTAACGATTTTCTAGAGTTTAACCGTTGAAACATTTCAGACTTACTATCTGAATAAATCTCAGTCCATGTCGTAGATAAACAAAAATTATGCTCGGGTAAAAAAGAATTCCTCAGAAGCATCGGTTTTATTTTAAGCAATATTTAAATTTTACTTGTCTGAATCCCCTAGGTAAAAGTGTATACCCCCCGCCCCCCGCCATGGAAGTATCTTTACAACCTTTACATAATACAAATAGTATGTGTTTCTTATACAAACGCAGATTAGTCAGCAGAAATAGCAAAGAAATATATAGAATGTGCGTGAGCTCAGAGACACCAGGATGGCCGCAGGGCCCGGCTATACAGTGGTTCCACCCCCACCAGGGCCCTCAGCCGCCAGCAGACCTGCCCTGGGTGATGGGGCTGCAGACCTCAGGGTATGTCTGCTAGAAATGGTGACCTTGGGGTCAGGTCCCCAGGTAGCCAGGTCACCAAGTAACCACCTCACTCTGCTTGGCCTCTTTCAGGGCTGTTGTCTTGTTTCTGATGAAATCCTTTGTTCTCCAGCAGTCTTTTGGTTGCCCTGTCTTGTCCCCGGTGCATGTGCGGATGGGGCTACGTGGTCAGGCTAAGCTTCCTCTCCCTCCCTTGGTCCTCTTCACACCCCTCCCCATCTCCACTGGTTTCCCCTTCTGTAAAGTGTGGTCTTGCTCCTGTCCCCCTTGGTGATGGCATCCAGGGCTTTCAAACACCGTTTGTCCCTGCATTCCAAGTGTGGGTCCCCACTTATGCCTCACCCCTGAATCACAGGCTGTATGTGCTATACTTGACATCCGATGGGCATGGCAAACCCCACATGCCCTAGACTGAACCGACGGCCTGCAGAGCCTCCCCACAGCCTGAGCCATCTCAGCCGATGGCACCTGCACCCTTGTGTCGTCAGGCAGACACCTGGTACTCACCCTGAGCCCAGCCTCTGTCCTCCAGTCTGTGGAGGCCTGGCCCCCTCACTGTGTATTCCTGCCTCCGCTGCTGCATGTGAGCTGGGGCCCACCCCGTTCTGCTCTCAGATCTCAGGCTCCCAGGAAAGTAATCTGTGCTCAGTGAGTACTTCTGAATGAAGTTCCTTCAATGAATGTTTAATTCTGTTCTCATTTTTCTTCTTAAATGGCTATTCTCTTAATATTAAGTCTAATGACCTTTCTGTGCAGATTCAAAAGTGAAAGTCTATTTTTCTTGGTTGGATGATGCTCTGGGCATCATCAGCGATCGTGTGTGGCTCTGTTGGGTCCCTGTGGCCTTTCTCACAGGTCAGGTGGGGCGGGTGCCAACAGATGGGCTGCACGTGGTCTTCTGCGTCCGCAGCATATGCAGTGGGGCTCCAGGGGCCAAGGGACAGACACAGTCCCCCAGCTCATCCTGAGGCAGCTTTCTTTCCTTGAAGCATGTGCCTGCTGGGCCATGCTGCTGGGACCTCCATCAATGACATAGAACAGCAGAGGCGTGTGTTGGGGTTGGCCCCCTCTCAAGCTTCCAAGAGCTAATTTTACGTTCACCAGGTTGCCCCAGTACACTTGTCATTTATATCTCCTTTGTTCCATGTTTAGATTCTAGAACTTTCCAGTCTCAGGATTGTAGAATGTATTCTAATTGGAGAACATGTTTTCTTATGTGTTACTGTGTGATTTGTAACCTGGTGTGGACAGTGAAGACTGTAGCAAGATATTAGAAGGTTCTTCTGATGCGCTACAGTTTGGGAATACTAAAGACATTTTTTATTTTTGCAGTAAGTAAAGTAAGAATTGAAGAGAAGGAATGGAGAGATGAAGACTCTGAAAGAGGCGATGAGGAGAGAGAGAGGCGATACAGAGAAAGAAAGGTATGCAGGCCACAGCTTAGGCACTGCGAAGCAGGAGGCACGTCAGCGAGGGGCATTGGGGGAAATGCAGACAGAATTCAAGGCCCGAGATGGTTCTCAAGCGCTGCGTGTGGTCAGTTACTTTTCCTCTCACTGGCAAGTGTGTTTCTCTGATTCCAACGGTAGTACTCGGTTATTTTGGAAAACTTAGAAAATACAAATAATAAGAATGAAAACCAGTCCCCATGCAAAGGTAATGTTTAGGTGGATACCCTAAAGAGGACAGAATAGCAGCTAAGGCTCCACAGCATCTGCTCTGGGCCACGTGCTGTAGGTCATCTAGGACGGTCTGAAGGACACGGCCGCGTGTGCATAGGCCGTGTGCAGACACTGCACCGTTTTACAGTGGACGCGAGCGCCCACAGGGGTCCTGGGACCAGCCCCGGCGAATGCTGAGGGTGACACCTGGTGCGTGTTTAGGTGCACATGAGCTTTTTTTTTGAGTTGGATTTTACTGTTCTGTGAATTGTTTAGAAAGTACATTTTGAGCATTTTCCTAAATTATCATATTTTTCCATAACAGTATTTTAATGCCTGCGTGATGTCTAATGATATGGACCTGCCGTAGTCCTCTTGACATGTCTGCTTTTTTTAGACACTTATGTTGCTTCTAAATTTTTTTATTGTAAAGACACTCATGGAGTAAACTCTCTGCATTTACTCGTCATTATTCCCTTATCAGTTCTGGAAGTGAACTTACTGGATCAAGTGACTGTAGGCTGAGCTTGTTCATGTGATGTAAAGGCTGTAGTTATTTACACCAGGGTGTCATTCCCTGTGTCCCGCAGGGTGTCTAGGGCATCCTCGTAACCGCTGACCTTGGCTGGCGAGCTTCAGGAGGCAGGGCGCTGGGAGCGTCTCATGTGAGGCTTACCACCCCACTCGTGGTCATGACCCACGTGCGTTTGCTCGAGCGGAGTTGTGCTCGTTTAAGTGTGCTTTACAGTTAACGCTGCTAGTCGTTGGTGTTGCTGCTTTCTGCTTGTTTTGAATTTTACATGTGGAATCTTGGATTCATTTCTAAGTAAGGTTAAAATTGTGAAGTAGTCTGTCTGCCTCATACCCAGAAGCCCCTTCCGCACACCACCTCTGCTTTGCTCTGGGTCCTCATAACTTTTTTTTAACCCCAGGCACTTTAATCCTCGTAGAGTTTTTTCTGGTGACAGACGCGTGGTAGACTGAACTAAGCTTGGTCTGGGGCTCGTCACCATGTCTTTCTGGGGGAGCTGAGCATGGCGCGGGTCGACGCTGGTAGGCGGCCGCAGGGGCATGGAGGGGTGATGTGGGGGGCTAGGACAAGGGAAGTGTGACATGCAGGGCCTGTGGCTGTAGAGCAGACGTCCAGTGCCTGCATGAGCGGAGGGGGCCTTGAAGGCAGAGGACAGTTCAGTTTCAGGGTTCCATGCAGACACGTCGATGTTGCTCCCAGAACTGCAGACCTGAGCCACGTGCATCAGGCATTGACAGCCTGCTGTACGGGTCAGCCGTCCCCTTTCTGGTGGGCACTACCAGTTATGACCGAGCACTCGTGTGATGTGGGGTGCAGATGTGACCAGACGACAGGCCCGGGTTAAGAGTCTCCCTGTGGGTGGGTAGAGACTCGTGAAGTACCAAGGAGAGGGACACAGGTGGGCATGCTATCAGGAGAGGCGCAGCAGTGCGCTGCACACAGGAGCATGTCTCTGCAGAAATTACACAGTGTGGGGGGCTTGCATGTTGGTGGGGTTCAGCGTGTGTAGGAGTTGGGAGAGGGCGACAGGATGAGGCTGTAGAGGAGGGGGTCGCTGAGCTGTGCAGCGCCTTGTCCGCCGAGCTGAGGAATTGGGACGCTGTCGCCTACATCTCGGCGAGGGCACCTGGCTGTAATGTCGCCGTCATCCTTAGGGCTGGGTGGCCGGCAGCATTGAGCAGTGGGGTTGTCTTTTCCAGAAGCACATCCTCCGAATGAGTGTCCCTGAAGGCTCCCGCAGCAGGAGAGGCCGATGGGCAGGGGGCGTTGTGCAGCTTTCTTCGCCTTCATCAGAACGTGTGCCACAGCATGCCGCATTGTGGATCACTCATTTTTCAATATATTCCTTCTAAGTTGCAGTATGGTGACAGCAAAGATAATCCTCTTAAGTACTGGCTCTATAAAGAAGAAGGTGAAAGAAGACACAGGAAGCCAAAAGAACCAGATCGAGAAAAGAAACATCGAGAAAAAAGCAGCACACGGGAAAAAAGAGAGAGATATTCAAAAGGAAAAAGTAATTCGTTCTCCGACAAGGAAGGAGAAGAAAGACACAAAGAAAAACGACACAAAGAAGGCTCTCACTTTGATGACGAGAGGCACCGAGGTAGCATGGAGAAAAAGGACAGGTCGTCGAAGGAAGAGCACAGGAGAAGGGAACCCAAGGTACTGCTCCTGCCGCGTGTTTCCTTTGTGGGCGTCCCGCGGTCAGCCCCCGGGGGTGGGGGTGCTCTGTCTAGGCGCAGCCCATGGCGGTGCTGGCACTTAACGTCACACGGTCAGAACGCAACTCAGGCCTGCGCTCTGTGGTCGGTCAGTGCACTGGGCCCTGAGCTGGAAACACGAGGCTGGATCTGATTGCTTTGTGATGTACTTTTAACGCATATTCAGAAATCTATCATAAAATTTTAAAATTGAACACTAAGGAGGAAGACAATATTTTAGAGTGGAAATTAAGCGTATAATTTTAATTTTAGCAAAATGTTTCGACCAAAATTGGTAGTATAAGTTTGCAAAACAAACAAAACAGCACGTACACAAAACGATTGATCGCAAAGGGTCTAGTTTCCTCCCGTGTGTTGACAAAATTACTGTAACTGCTTAGAATTCCCTGCATTCATTTTAGTGTCTTCGTTTTCATGTTTATGCTTTTTGTTGCACCGTTTTTCCAGACTCTGAAGTGAATGGATTTCATGCTCCCATTTTTGGGTGGTGCTCCCTCCAAGCAGAGTCTCCTGAGGGCGGGGGCCTTGGACTGGCTGGTGCCTGACCAGCATCTGGGGACTTAAACACATGCACACTTCCACCCCAGGGAAGAGGCTTCTGACAGCTGACAAACTTCCTTTGCTAGATAATTCGTTCACATTTATTGAGTGGCCACTGTCTGTCAGCCACTGTTCTAGGTGCTGAGGACATATCTGCGAACAAAACAGAAGTTTTTATTTTCACGAAGCTTACTTTATATTTGAGAAGCCATATGATAAGGAAATATATGAGTATATAATATCAGATCAGGAGGGATTAGAGAGCATTATCTAAGATTTTTATTTGCATTGATTTTCAGGTACTCAAAAAATACACTTTTCAGCTTAGTTACCGCGTTAGCTCCTTAATCACTGTGGCGATGGATATAATGATCGTGAGGTAACCATAACATGCAGTGGGCACTCTAAACTTTCTCCAGGACCGCAGCTGTGAAGCGGGGCTGCTCCCAGGGCTGCTGCCCTCCTGAGTTACCTCCCACTCGTCAGTGTCACTTTGATCTCGTGGGCCTCTTGTTGTGCACCTCCTCCAGCTGTCGGTCAGGCACCAGCCAGTCCCTTTTCCCTTAGGTTTAATTCTCATAGTCGATTCTTTTTTCTCCTCCTTTATATCCATATGGGCATTAAATTCTAATTTTTTCTTATCCAGCACTACTGATTTCGTTCTCTTTCCATTCTGATCTGTTTTATAGACTGATGCCAGACTGTTCTTCCTGTTAAACGTGTAATTAGACTTTTTCTAAGTAATTTTTAAAAGATTTTTAAATACAGGAAGAGTAAAAATAATTACCCATGATCCCAGACTCAGAGATAGTCCATCTGTAACGTGTACATATGCTTGCTGTCCTTTTTCCTGTCTGTAAATTCACTTTTTAATAGTGCAAAATTGGAATCAAGCTATTTTTTCTTTTAATTCTGGGAAATGATTTTTAATACTGGAATATTTAATAGCCATATGGTATTCTATCATGGCATAACCTCATTTATTTAATAAGTAACTTAATATTGAATATTCAGGTCACCGATATTTTTTTGATATTAGAAATTATTCTGAGATGAACAGAATAAGAATCTTAATATATGTTTTAGATCATTTTATAGGAATAATTTCCTAGAAATAGAATTTATAGGTCAAATAAAGCGTATTTTAGCTCTTTTTAAGGCTTTTCGTACATGTTGTATGTTGCCCTCCAGACTGATCTTTCTTAGTGGTGGTTGAATCCTGCCCTTCTTTCGCTCTGCACTTTTTATGGGTAAATCCCAGGTCTGTAATCATCCTTGCCCTGGGGAGGGATTGTCCCCTCCTCTTGGCGTCTTTAGTGGTTGAGGACCAGCCTCACACCCCTGTGCCGTGCTTCCTGCAAGCACTTACTCAGCCAGTGTCCCTTTGTTACACAACCTACCTACACGTCTATTTGCACAATCTAATAGTTTTTATTAAGGGAAGATTGTTAAAATTTTTTCTAGGTGCATACATCTGTGAAATAGCCACACTCCGTATGTTGGAAAATTTATAATTTTAAGCAGTGTAAAGAACGAGTCATACTTATCTGAAAATAATGTGAAATTGATAACTCTAAATTCCTTTTACTTACCCAAGTAATATGTAATCACCTTTTAGTATACCTTTATTCATCTTCCTAATGCTAGTTACCTAGCTTACTAAAGATACTAATAAAAACAGTTATTTTAAGAGATGCATATAAGATAGCTGCTGCCGTTAAAGTTTTAGTCCCTTCTTGTACAGAGCTTGGTAATTACGGTCAGTTCATCATGATACACTGATTAATGGTTATGGAATTTTTGTTTGATAGGGTGGTGAACACAGAAATCGAGGTGGAAGTTCAAAGAGAGACGGGACCAGCAGCCAGTAAGGGACACGTGCTCTTTGGTTGATTCTTACATGTAATGCAGTTCTCGTAGAATGCTTTAGAATGAATTTTTTCTTGTTGGGTCTAATTATAGCCAGTAAATGAAATAAATTATAGATAACAGATAACTTATTTCCATTTTACTCTGGACACAACCCCTCTGAACCATATTTTAAGTGTAGTGGAGGAGCTTGGGGACTTGTTATACATTATTGGTCCTAGTTTGCCGGTTTTACATTTGCTCTTACAAAATGAGAGCATCTGTGCCCGCTTTGGGGGAAAACTTGTTTGTGAGGCTCTGAATGTCCAGCCCCCACCCCTGCAGCACTTGACCAGCCCCAGAGGGCAGAGCCAAGAGCCACTGGGCTGTCGGCCACCTTTTACCAGCTTCTGGTTCACGTCTGCTAAACACGCATCACACCCCCAGAGCCCCACTGTCCCTCGTCTGTCGGCGGGAGTGCAGATGAAAGATGCTTCCTTTGGCGGTGAGGCCCCTGCGGTTTTGTGAGGGTCAGTGTGTTGGCACCTGCCAGCTGTGGTGACATGTCTGCACTGCACTGGGATGTTGGGTGGCCCTTCTGAGCCTTTTCTTTTCCGTAAAACTCTGATGATAATTCCTATTTTGTGTGGGTTTTGTGAGATTACAGATTGAAGTTTGTATATAAACTAATTTTGTGTATAAACTCCAGATTTTTTGTTTGTTCTTTATGGCAGCCATATTTGGTAATTCTTTTTCACGGATTAGGAGAACAGGCTAAGTGCCTTGCTTGAATTCTTACAAGTTTGAGCAAAGCTAGCACTTAAACCTAAGGGTGCAAATTCCTAGACTTCGCTCTGCGAATCTGCTAGGACAGACAGAGCTGCGTGCAGTTCTGAGTGTCTCTTAAACCACACGCTGCGTGGAACTGCTGTGAACATAAGTTCTAGAAACTGAGGATCGGGCTGTGGCCATCTCTGGCGTAGCCCGTTTCTCTCCTGAAATGTACTTTAATAAATCTTATTTTTCCTAAATAAATAAATAACTAAAAATAAAAACTGAGAATCAATTTGAAATTTTGAAAGCCTTATTTTAGGTCTTAACTATCATGTGATTAAAAAATAGGTTTTTAAATAAATCTTTCTTTTGGAAATGCAAATATTATATTAAACGTAAAATAATTGACAATGAGTCTAATAAAATTACAGGAATTTTCTAGAACTCTAAAAGGATACATTCATACATACATGTTAAAACACAGTTTCTTTTCTCTACTGAAGGTGTTTTCTAGCTCGGATTACTGCTGAAATAGTAAAATGTTAGGAAGGCTTTAGTATTCACGGTTCTAATAAAGCATGCTTTAGAAATTTGCCAACCTACAGCAGTTTTTAATCATATCAAATAGTGATAAGAGCCTTCACTGAGATACAGATGTATTATTTTTTGTTATACATTTAAAGTTAATTTTGCTTTTGATCATGTTTGCTTGCTAGGCACGCAGAGATGTTAATAAGGAATGATGGGAAAGACAGAGACTCGAGAAGGAAGGTAAGACACTTGGGGTGATGACGCTTCATTTTTCCTGAAAGCTCAGATAGACCTCTTCGCACGTGATTATTGGGCTGCTGATTGCCGGGGGCACATAGGAGACACATTTAGATTAGAAGACTCACGTAAACCGAAGGTAAGAAGATGGACGTGTTACACTGTCAGCAGCCGTGACAGATCCCGAGTGGCCGTGCTCCTGACGAGGTGTAACGAGAAGCAGGGGGACATGTCGTTGTGGTGAAATAATGGTCTCGGAAGGAAGGCGCAAGCATTAGAACCTCACAAAGGGCCCCAAAGCACAAGAAGCAAAAAGCGACAGAATTAAAGGGAAAAATAGAAAATTAAGTAGTACGAGACTTTAGCGCCCCGCTTTCACTAATGGATACAGTGACAGCATCTCACATTAAGGAGTTCGACAACTTAGTGAAAGGGACAAATTCCTGGAACATGGGAATTGTCGAAACTGCCTCGAGAAGAGGTAGAGAGTCTGAGCAGACCTGTGGCGAGTAAAGAAGCTGCACTGGTGTTAAGAAAGCGTCCCACGAGGCGGGGCAGTCAGATGCCCTCGTGCACGGTCTGCCAGGCGTTCGCTGTTAACGCGCACGGGCGCTCGTAGCCCCATACCACATCCTGAATGACCTGCGCACCTGCCGAGAGTCGCATCCGCTGCCGCTTCACCTCCTGTGTCAGCGTGTCCCTGGTCTTCATTTTTGTGCCATCTTCGTAATTATCATCGAAGCGCTTTCCTAGGTTTTTGTTTTATTAAAGGTAATGTGGGAAGCAGATTTGGGGTTCTGTTATTTCTGAAGAATAATTTTTTCTTCAATAGTTATCTGAAACCCCTGACACTTTAACATTTTGTGCCATATTTTTATGTATCTCTTTATTTCATACATATACAAATACGTCACTTCACATAAGTCAGGTCGTACAGGATGTGTTGTTTTGATGTGGGCACGTTTTACTCGTTCACTTTTGGGGGTGGTTGGATCGCTTCCTATCTAGCTACAGCCACGCTAAGGAAAAACAGCCTGACACACATTTCTTCTCATGTAATCTTTTTTCTCATGTGATCACTTACAGTCATGTATTGAAACGCACGTTTGGGGTTTAGGATGCGCTTTTTCTGTTTTCCACCTCTCCCACGACCCCACCCCTGCCATGCAGCATACTGTTTTTGCCAGTTCATCGTGGAAACCCCTGTTTCTAATGATACAGATCTGCCTCGTGCTTTCTGTGGTTAAATTTATTGAAGCGGAGTTACTGGATGAAAATGTGTAGTTTTTAATGTCTTCCTTTGTTTCCCAATATTTGTGTGAGCAGCAGATTAGCATTGTTCAGTAGATTACAATGTAGGCCACATTTAATTTAAAGTTTTTAGCAGTCACATTAAAAACTAAACAATTTTCAGAACATTATATAATCCAATATTTCTTAAATAATATCCTTTCAAATAGTATCCAGTCAATATAAGAAATTACCAGTGAGACATTTTACATTCTTTTTTTCACCAAAACTGCAAAGTATGCGACATATTTCTCCCCCGAAAGGGTCCGGAAGTGACATTGAAGATACTTGACAGCTTGTCTTGGCTGATGGTTTTGTCTTACGTTGTATAGTGCCAACGCTGAATTTGTCTTTGTTAATTCTTTAGTGTCTATGGAGCCTACAGTGCACCAGAATAGTTTTCTGGACACATGGAAAACGCTTCATTTTCTTCATGGTACTACACCATGCTGTCCCCGGTTTTATGCACTGAATAGTCAGGGGCAGTAACATCTGAGTCGTGCCCGCCTTTCCCAGTGACCCCAGCAGGGACGTGGGTCACCTTCCCGATGCCGGCGTGCGCCAGTGTATCCGCCCCTCCCACTGGCAGTAGGAGTAGGTACCATCATCTCCTCATTTCTGAGAGGAGGAAACTGGGGCGCAGAGGTGGTTAAATGCTGGGTCACCCCATTTGTGCACCTCAGAGCCAGGACCCAAGTCTGTAACTGCTGAGGACAGCACCTCTGCGGGAAGCAGGTGGGCTCTGGGCCCCGGAGACCCCTCTCCGCTGGCTGACCCTGGCCGTGCTCTGTCCGCAGCACGGGCATGACGAGGACAGCTCCGCGTGGCAGCTGGCTCAGAGGCACGGACGGGAGGAGACTGCGGTAAGGAGAGTGCGTCCTGTCCGGTCCGGGCCGTCCCGAGGGTCCCGTTCACAGGCCTGTCGTCCCCTCTCCCCGGGGAAACCGAAGCCCCTCGGCTCGTACGCGTACATGGGGCTTGGGCTCTGGGCCGTGGGGAGCTGACGAGGCCTGCGCGGATGTGGTCCGGTCAGCTTTCCTCTCGAATGGATGTCTGTGAAAGGGCTGGGGGCGACAGCGGACAGAGGGGAGGGCCAGCGTGGAGGGCTCCCAGCGAGTACGTGTGAGGGACAGGGCGCTGAGCTGCCAGTACACAGGACACGGATGAGGAGGAACGGCTTTGGGAGCAAATACGAGTTTGCCAGACCTTTCATTTCTGGCACCCTTGGTTTTCCTAGCAGGATGGCCTTAGGGTGATGTGTGCGGCCTCCCCAGAGCTCAGAGCGTGGCTGAGCGCAGTTCCCACCGCAGGACTTCAAAATGCCTCTGTTTATCCCCAGGTTGCAGAGGGTGGAGTTCAGGCTTGGCGTGGGTAGGTGGTGACGACCAGGCGCCCTGGGTACTGAGGGGCAGGCTGGCATTCGAGCAGCCCGTCGTCCCTTAGATGAAAAGGACAGGACTCGCCAAGTCCGAGCCTCGTGCCCTGAGACCTCGTAGTTGATGTTTTAGTCACTGGAGCACGTGGCAGCTCAGACAGGACGTGTCTGTGTGTCTGTCCTTGACCGCGCAGACGTGGGGATGTGTTCGTGGCTGGAGAATGAAGTAGGGAGAGGGTCGCTGGAACTGTGGGGTTTGTTTGTGTGATGCTTCTTTCCTCCTTTAGCCATGAGAATTATAGAAGTTTCTCCGAGAGAATATGCTTAATAATTGTTTCCTCTTTTTGGTCATATTTATAAATTAGCAAATTCTTAAGGAATTCGAAATTAGGTTATGTCAGTTTCATACTTATATTTTTAAGTTAGCAACTTCAGATGAATCTCAGAAAGCATGTATTTTCACAACCTGTTTGCAAGATTCAAATTTGTGATTGAATTTTTTTGTTATGTGTTTGGTTCTTACCTATAGGAAATTGAAAAAGAAGACACTGACGTAGAAAATGTTGGAGCCGATGAATACACAGCCAATTTCGAAGATGACTTTGAAGTATGTATATACGTTAAAACTTTTCTTGGCTTAAAAACAATTTGTTCTTACAACGAGCTTAAATTATAAATTGCATGTTTCATTTTGTGTGAGTGTTCTTTAAGGTCAGTTTGTCCTAAAGCTTCCAAAAACGTTGTCATGGTTCGTAGGACTATGAAGATGACTTTGAGGTATGTGATGGAGATGAGGATGATGGCACAAATGAGCTGGAATCAAGGGAAAAACTCGAAGAACTTCCTCCAGCCAGAAAAAAGGAGATCCAGGAGATCCAGAAAGCCATTAACGCAGAGAACGAAAGGGTCGGCGACTTGTCTTCGAAGCTATTTCAGAAGCACGGTCGGACGGAGCGTAAGAGGGACCCGGGGACAGGTGCGTGCGTGACCGACGCGTCCACACTGGCGGGACGCCGGGCGCTGAGATCCGGTTCCTCTCCAGGTGGCAGCCACGGAGCATTGCCTGCCGTGCTGGGCACTGAAGTCTCTTGTTGGTGACCGGTGTGTGAGGGTCGTGGTGCACATGGCACAGGCCGCTTCTCCACCCAGCGCCTGCCTCCTCCCGAGGCCTCACGCAGGAGTCCCCAGCCCTGTCGCTTTCCCTGTGCGGCAGCCTGCCCTGCAGCACGCGCTCCTGTTCGTCTGGCGCTGCCGTCCTTGACTTTCCTCAGAGGGGCTCAGCGGCGTCTGGTGAGCAGCCCCGTGAGGCGGCAGAGCCCAGGGCGCCTGGCGGGGGCGAAGGGCTGGGGACGTGGCCGGCAGGCGAGGCTTGGGAGCATTTCGGAGGGAGCCTCGGTTTCCAGCCATTTTCTTTATGAGATGAGGGATGTATATTGCTCACAAATTCTTGGCATCTGGTTACGATAAAGTTACTTGTAAGAGTAGGAGTAAATATGTTAAAATCACTTAAAGGGAAAAAACTGTGATATCCTGATAAAAAATGTTAGCACTGAAAATAGCACAAATGTCAAATAGGACAACATTAAAATTATTATTAGATAGTATTCTACTTTAAATGATTTAGTAGGGCAAGTAGTTATTAATACAGTTAATTGTGATGTGGTCAATACAATGTAACGGTCCAAATGCAGGTCTGGCAGAGCGATTACCCTGTGTTGTGCCTCATGCAGAAGCAGCAGAACTGAGCCGAGGCGCACTGCCATATCAAATCTTTTTTAAATTTATAGGTAAAAAAAATGCCTTTGAGGCCAGTGGGTAGCCGTCCTGGCAACAGCGGTGTCCAGCAGGACCCCCTGGTGATTTCTCCCTGTGGGGCTGCAGCGCGCTGGGGACTTGGCAGTGGATTCACAGCCTGCTGTCGCAGGCGCCCGAGAAGTGTGCAGGATCGCACCCTGAGTTCTCGGCTCCCTCACAGGCCTGCAAGAGCCCCTCTGCCACTCATGGCCCATGTGGCGCCGACCAGCGTAGCCTTTCGTAGCTTGGTTTGCAAGATTCGAGTTGACAGTGCCTGGCAAGGCGTTGTTTTGGTTGTGTTTTTTATCTGAGAGAATTGTGTACGCCAACGTGCAGCGCTGTCCAGGCAGAGCTAGAATTGCCCTCTGGGCGCCATTTCATGTTGAGCAGCCTCGCCGAGCAGAGGTGATCGTCATACCTACGGTAGGAGGCCACAGAGTCACGCTTGATGGTACTGGCCAGCTGTGTGACCTCAGGCAGTTACGTGGCCTCTCTGTGCTTCAGTTTCCTTTCCGTAAAGAAAGAGTAAGATATTCTTTGGGGTTGTTGTGAGGATTAATTAAATAAGCTAATACACGTAAAGAGCCTTAGAGGGCGTCAGGGACACACTGAGTACAGTGAATGTTAGGGTCAGGGCTGCTCGACAACCATCACCAAGTGGTGAAAGTATTCTTGTGTCCTGCGTGTCCAGCCTTTGCTGTCACGGTAATATTTTATGCGTCACCCTGCGTCACCCTGCGGTGATTGACCTATTTGCTTAGGAGCTGCACACGTTCCCCTTTCCAGCGTTATAGGGAGCTATTTGGAAGTAACTTCTCCAGTGCGCTAGGTTCCACAGTGGTATTTGAGAGTTCACATACTCGCGAACGCTGCGTGACTCGGTCGGTGAGCATTTCCTGACTGTTGACTCGGAGCACTTGTGGGCCGTGCTGCAGGTCTTAGTCCTGTGGCTTTAAATGCCATCCGCATTCCTCATGTTTAAAGCAGAAACAAAATTTAATAGCTAGCTCTCAGTACCTGCAGGGTAGGTCTCTTCTCGTAAACGCGACCTGCTTTAATCCTTGCGACAGTACTGTGTGGTAGGTTCGGACAGGTGGGGAAGCAGAGGCACACCATCTGCTCACAGTCACAGAGCAGGTAACGTGCAGAGTGGGGCTCTAGCCCGGGTCCTTCAGCTCAGACCCACGTGTTCCCTCCGACCCACTGGCCTCACGGATTTGAGGGTAGGTGGCTCCGGCCTTTTGATGAATTCCAACACACCAACACACACCCCAAAGGCATGAGATGCAGTGGGAATAAACATGTGAACAAACGGGTGAACCCAGACAGGAAACCACAGAAGTCCTCAGGGTCAGAGGTGGACTGAGGGTGGCGGGCCAGGCTGTTCACGACGGTGGCAGCCTTCTTGGCCAGTTAGTCACAGGCGGTCCGTCTAACCACATCTCTGCACGTTGTGAAGTTTCTGATGAGACCCGCCTGCATTCGTCTTGGCTTTTGTCTGGCACAGGACGTGATCCAGGGTTAACTTTCGTGAGCTGCGTGACTTGCATTTGCTCTGCCTCGTAGCTCTTTCGTTTGCTCACATCCCAGTTCCCTGAGCTGGGCATGAATTTGAGAGCATAGGACTGGATCTTACGTAAATCCGTAACCGTGTCTAAAACTCTCAGAGAGTGGCACATACACAGTCGATTTTGCTTTGCCGCCTGAAAGTGTGAGATGAAATTAGCGGAAGCGGCCTCTCAGCTGCTCAAGGGTGATGTTTATCACTGTTGTCATTAGTTACGTGTGAAGACCTTATTGAGTATAATTATTACATATGTTTCTAATTGTTTTACTCGATTTTTTTGCTAGAGAGAAGTATTTCAGTTTCACAAAAATACTTTTTTTTTTTGGTACAGATACAAACAGTTCCTCTTCCAGAGCCTCCGTTTGCGGAATTTTTGTGGATTTTGCAACAGCTTCCCACCGTCAAAAGAGTCGGACTCAGGCCCTAAAGCAAAAGTAGGTGCACTGGGAAATTTGTGAAAGGAATTATGGAGTTTTAATATAGTTTTCTTCAGCATGCTGTTAAAAAACAGAGCTGCTCATTTTATTTTCACTGAGGACTGCTTAACACGTTCTTTCCTTTGCGCGCTGTTTCTCGGTGCTCGGCTGTAAGTAAAGCAGGCGTGCGTGCTGCCTGCCGTGTCGGATGCTCCATCTGGCGTCACCCACTTTGGCTGAATCAGAGTCCCAGTTACGCAGCACGGAGTGAGCCTGGCCTGCAGCTCAGGGACCTCCCACTGGAGGCGCAGTTAATGCCACTCTGTTCTGGGACACCCAAAGTTGATGGAATCTATCAGCTATACTTTGCAGAAGCTCTAGAGAAACAAACACAGATAACAAAAATAAAAACAAATCCACCCAGACATAGTGTACTCAAATGGCTGGGCACCAGAGTGAAGGAGGGGCCCTAACAGCAGGCGGGGGCAGAGAGACCGCTCTGTGTGGGGGGAGGGGAGGGGACGTGGAGGTGGTAACACTGAAAGCTGAGCTTTCAGGGGAAGCAACGTAGACTAGAGACCACGTTTAAGACGCTGAAGGAAAATTACTGCTCAGACTTTGTACCAAGTGAATGATACTCTTTAAAAACGAAAGCAAAAGATGTACATTTTCAGACACAGTAAAGCTGTGAGCATTCACTGCTAGCAGACTTATACTAAAATAACAGTTAAAGGAGTTTCTCAGGCCTAGGGAAACTGACCCCAGATGAAAACACAGACACCTGCTAGGGACAAGGCAAGGGAATGGGTCAGTGGGTGGTCACAGGAACTGACCACATGATGCTGACCACATGAAGCCTCGACGTCTTGTGAAATCAACATTACTTCACAGCTCTGTCCAGGAACTGGGGCGGGGAAGGGGCTTGTGATGGTAGCTTGCGATGAGGGCCTGGCAGGGAGAGGTGAAGGTACTTAGTTTAAGGTAGACTTCAGCAGGTCAAAAATGCATGTTAAAATAGCTAGAGCAACTGTTAAAACATAATGCAAAAAATTCATAACAAGTAGAAGAGTAAATGGAATGATGAAAAATACATGGTTAATCAAAAGTAGTCAAGAAAGGAGAAGCAGAAACAAAGAGTGTGGAACAAATAGGAAACAGGAAGATGGCAGGTCACACCAAAAATCCATCAATAATTACGTCATATGTCAGTGGCTGATGAACCAATTAAAAGACAAAGATTGTTCACTGGGAGAGAAAATAACCCGAGTCCAGCGCGTCCTCACTCAACATGGTCGATGGGCTCTGCCACGCAGGCAAAACGGCAGCTGGGCACCGAGTCTGGCCTCGGGCTGGCCGACACAGACAAGAGCCAGGTCCCTGCGGCGTCAAGTGCTGCACGTGACTCCCGGGACACGGACCTCACACGTCAGGACACAGAGCTGAAAAAAGCATGGAAAACGCGCGCCAAGCAAACAGTAACGGAAGAACGCTGGTGTCGCTGATATCGAAGGAAACTGGAAGCAAGGCTAGAAATAGGCACTGAATACCGAGAGGGTCAGTTGCACAGTTGAGGCAAGCGGCCCTCCCGTGTGAAGCCAGGCCCGGTGGTAGATGTACCTGGGCAAAACCCGCACCCTGCAGGGAGAGGGCGGGTTCACAGTTCACAGTCAGAGGTCTACCCTGTCTCTCCCAGGAACTGATAGTTTAGTGGAGACGCGCAAGATTTGAACAGCGCGGTTAACAAACCGCAGCTAACACATGCCTGCACCTGCAGTCCCCAGGTTCTTTTCAGGAATACACAGAACATTTCTCAAAAATGTCGTGCACCGTGGACATGGGGTTGAAACGATGAGAGGATGTTCTCTGGCCAGCGTCAGTAAGCTAGAAATTAACAAGGTAATAAGGAAATAACCCAAACGTTTGAAAAATGAGCGGTGTAACGTCAAATGAGAGTTAGAAGCTACTTTTAACAGTGATAATGAAATCGGCATTTTAGCATCTCTAGGCAGCTGAAGCTATTCTGAGGCATATATTAGAAAAAGAGAAGGCTGAAAATGAGTGGCCTGCACAGGTGTCTCCAGAGGCCAGAGAGAGTGGCAAGCTAGAGGTGAAAGGGACAACATAATGAAAGGTAAGGGCGGAAATCTGTAAATTCAGGGTGGTCACGATAAACCCAACAAAGCCAAAATTCTTATAAACCCCTAAGAGGCCTGACCAAGGGGGGAAAAAAGAGAAAGCAAGACACAAATAATAGCAAAAATGAAAAAGGGGGCATTACGACATGTTTACAAACGTGAAAAAGAGCACAATGTGGTATCGTGGACTGGTTTGTGTCCGTTGAGTGTTTAAATGACATGGATCAGGTGTCAGGGTTCGTCTCTGCAGGTGCTCTGTGGTCGAAGACTTCTCGGAGGGCTGGGGGTAATAAGTCAGGAACATAGGAGATGGTGGCCAGAGAGTCAGGTCACGGGAAGCGGGCAGTTGGGGGTGAAGATCCGAGAGCGTGTGGACAAGGAAGGAGAGCAGATCGAGTCAGTGACCCGCCTGGGTGTGGAAGGGTCGTTCGCTTGCTCGGAACCCACTGACTGGGCACCAGCAGTGCGGGCATCTTGGGAAATGCAAGGAGTGAGACCGTCCAAGCCGAGCTTCCATCCCCGCGTGTGGGGTGAGCTCGGGCACGCCGAGGGGGGCTGGGGGAGACGGAGAGACCAGCTCAGGTGACTGGAAAGGAAATGTCTGCAAGGCCACAGGTTTGGGGAGCCTCGTGGGAGGGCGACATGCTCAGACGCGAGGTTACGTCCCGTGGGCTCAGGAAGAGTAGGGGGCACGCACCTGACAAGCTGCATCCCCTGGCCACAGTTCAGGTGGCGTCTGAAAAAGGTAACGCAAGTCAAGGCCTGTCCGTCCATAAAGTGAAGTGTTTTCCGTGGAAACGCTAGCAGCACGTGTTATAACTTCATTTTGTTAGCCTCGGGAGCCCTGAATCCTGGTGCTCGCACTCCGCTGGCCCCTGCACGGCCGTGTCATTTTGACGACCGTGGGACAGCCTGGGCCCGGCCGGCCACCCCGCCGGCTGAGACCCCTGAGCACCGCGTTCACTCTAACGTGTGTGTCTCCCGTTCCTCTCAAAGGACGCGCAGCGCGAAGCTGCTTCGGCTCATCGACTTGGACTTTTCGTTCACGTTCTCTCTCTTGGACCTGCCACCGGTAAATGAATATGACATGTACATCAGAAACTTCGGGAAGAAGAACACCAAGCAGGTTAGTACCGGCGGTGGTGACCCAGGGACGAGGTGTGAGTGGCGAGCGAAGCACAGTGGGTGACGGTGCCACAACGGGCCTCGCGGGAGCTGGGGGCTGGGCGGCAGCGGCCAAGGACACAGGCACGGAGGGGCCTTCCCCACGGGCTTGGCAGCCTGCAGGCCACGCGGCGTCCAGGGGCCCCACGCAGGCCACCTCCACTCCTCATCACCTCCGGGTCCCTTATGTGGGTTCCTGGGGATGGTGGGCGTCCTGCCGTGCAGGGTCTCCCACTCTGTGTGCACCGTGCCTCCTGTGCCACCCCTGCCGACTCAGCTGAGTGCCCACTCGCGCAGTGCCCAGCGCGCCCAGCCCTCCCGGCGCCCACCTGTGTCTCTGTCACCTTACCCAGCACTCCTGTCACCTGCGTTTCTTGTGTCCATGGCTTGTTTTCAAGGTGACTTCTTCCCTAGTGACTTACACTGAATTCTCTCATTTCCAGTCTGTCTCACACAATTGGTACTTGCCGTTGGCTTTGCGACGGGCCAGCTTCCCAAAGTTCGAAGTCAGGGATCACCTCTCATATTTGTCTGTGTCCCTGTTAGTGCCACCAGCCGACACATTCTCGGGCCCATGCAGTTGGCGTGCGCTCTCAGCTGGGAGGACACGGAGCGGGCTCAGGAGGTCCACAGCTCACCGTCCTTGCTGTTGACTTACTCTGAGCTGAGTAGATTATCTGACTTCGTTGCTTGTTTCCTCATCTCAAAGCTATTAGTAGCAAAACTGTCTCTACTGAAGCATGTACCTTTTTGAAATAAAAAAGTTGCCTTTGGTTTTGCACAGCCAGTTTGTTCTGGTCGGGACGTCGGCGGGCTAGGTGGTAGTATTTGCAAACCAAAGCTGAATTGTTTGATGTGACTTTTTGAAAACACTTTTAAAAATTAGGCCAGTATATAGCAAATGTTTAAGACACAAACAATGTTCGCGTGATTGTGATTTATGCCATGATACTTATTTTTGACAAAAGCAAGAAGACTGCCATTAATAACTTCATAATTTTTAATTGTTTTTCTTTTCAGTGCGAGACATTGCTCTGAAGTTGAGACGCGATGCTAACTCCTGCATACCTTTGTTTTTAAGGCCTATGTTCAGTATAACGAAGATAACGTCGAAAGAGACATCCAGACGGAGGAGCTAGAGACCAGGGAAGTGTGGACCCAGCACCCAGGGGAAGGCCCGGCTGTGTCTGGTGGTAAACGGCCGTCTCCTGACCATCGAAAGCTGAATGTCTTGCCGTTATTTTGGGCATTGTCCTCGTGACCTTCCTGTTCTTCCTCTTGCATCTTCCTCTTCCGCCGCCCTTCTCCGTCCGGCATCTTTCTCTGTGGTCGGCGTGTGGCTGTGGGAGCACCCAGCGTTTTCTCACCAGCGGGCTGGCAGGAGGGCCCCGACGGGGTCCATAACGCCATGTCCCTCAGCGTGGGGCGGGGCCGCATTCCAGACCAGCGGCTTCAGGGCGGGCTCTGGAGCACCCCACTTCTGCCTCGGGGCGGTCTGCCTCACCAGTTCCAGATGTGTTGCGTCAGTGTAGGCGGACGGCCCCAGAATGCAGTATTCTGCACGCACGGGTCCTCTTCGGTTCTTTACGGGCTGA